ACACATACTCGGGCCATTGATACACCTCGCCCACCATGAAAGACTTTCGGGGAGATGATGACACCCAGTTGGCGGCCATGGGCCACAAGGCCGAACTGAACCGCAATTTCTCTATGCTGTATGTCACCTTCCCACCCATGCCCTGATGCTGTTGATCTACCTCTCACGTGGACCAATACTGATGGATGGTGGTGGTGGTGGTTGATGCAGGTCAATGTTGGGTTTAGCGTTTGCCATTCTGAATGTACGTCGGCAAATCATCGCCTCCGCTCGACTTCGATAAGAGACCGTCTCTGGTACTAGACCACACCGGGAAGTTGATAGCTAATTAAGTGCGCGCGCAGTCATGGACCGCTTTATCGGCCAGTTTGTCACTCAGTCTGCCGTCTGGTGGCTGCGTTAGTGTCATCTGGGGTAAGTCATTGGTGCTAAGGGTTTATTCCTGCTTCTTGTCTGCATGGCGGGGATGTTTTATGCTATGATTGTGTTGGTGGTAGGTAAGGTTCCTCGGCTAACTTGTATCTTTTCAAGGGTTGATCACGGCTGGTATCTGTAATCTTTGCATGTCGGCTTCGCTGGCCGAGTTCTTGTCGGCATATCCTACGTATGTGCTTCTGGATGAGCCTTTTGGTGTCTGAGACTAATTTGGTTAGTGCTGGTGGACAATATCATTGGGTTGCAGGTGAGTGATTCATGTTTTATACTTTGTGACTATGACGGTGCTAACTATTCTTCCTCTACAGTTAGTATGTTTTACGATACCTGGTTCTTGCCGCTCCTTGCTGACAGTAGATGAAAGTTTCCTGGGAGAGATGGATGCCCCTTCTTTCGTGGATTACGGGTTGGGCGAACGTGACTGGCTGGGTATGTATACAGGACTTTTCTATATGTACAGCTGCTGATTCCTACAGGTTGCCCTGACTGCAACCGGAGGTCTTCTTGGAAGTGAACTGATCTTGGGTGTTATCTCGTTGATGCATCCTGTAAGTCCCTTTCTATCTTTCTGACCCCGACAGTTACTCACAACTCAATAGTCGTATGTCTCTCAGCGCTGGCATCAGTTCCTGATCTACATCGCCTATAACATTATTGCATTCCTCATCAATGCCTTTATGGGCTCGCTTCTTCCCTTGGTTACTAAGGGTGCCTGTGAGTGGAATTTTCTGCCTAAATATATGATCTAGAGCTGACCTGTCTAGTTATCTGGTCCCTTACCGGCTTCACTATAATCTGCATTACTCTCTTAGCATGCGCATCGCCTAACTACAACTCCGGAGAGTAAGTATTACATCGGCGGATTGCTTCTATACGTTATGCTGATCAAATAGGTTCGTCTTCGGAGAATTCATCAACGAAACAGGATGTATGGCAGACCACACCCCTTATTGATCGGTAAATGCTAACAGTTCTTAGGGCCTGATGGACTTGCTTGGCTGCTCGGAGTATGTTTTGCTACCTAAATTCTGTGAAGTTTGTTACTCATACCATGTAGCTCCTTCAAGGTGGACTGGGTCTCACGGGCTTTGTAAGTCTTCTGCTCTCTATTGCACAACACTGTACTAATTTCTATTCAGGACGGTGTCGCACACATGATCGAAGGTAAATCTGCCGACATTACTGGCGTCATCACATACTGAACATTCATAGAAATTCCAAACCCCTCGGTGGTAGGGCCCAAGATCATGATCGGTTGCGTCGGTATTGGAACCTTTACTGGCACAATCTTCTTGATTGTTCTCCTCTTTGTGGCTGGAAACATCTACGAAGATATCAACTCTGCGGCCACGCCTTTGCTGCAGATTTTCGTAAATGCGACGAGCAACAACGCCGGTGCCATCTGCCTTCTCGTGTAAGTTGTTCCTAAGATGTAGGCCCGCATTTACTGACATGTTCAAGCTTCCCTCTCGTGTGTGTTCTCTTCGCTGCTATCACGATCATGACCACGAGCAGTCGTATGATCTACGCCTTTGCAAGAGATGGCGGTCTCCCCGCTTCTCCTTTCTTCAGCAAGGTGCACACCAAGCTGGAGGTCCCTCTGAACGCATTGTACCTTACCAACATTCTGGTCATTATTTTTGGGTGCATTTTCCTCGGCTCGTCAAGGTATGTAAACTGCAAAAAGTAACAGTGCATATTGCGGTACGTTAACCTCTCATCAGTGCGTTCAACGCTATTGTGTCGGCTTCGGTTGTCATGCTTGATGTGGCGTACGGCATCCCTATTGCAGTGAACTGCATTCGCGGCCGGAAGATGCTACCGGAGAGGTCCTTTGTCTTGCCCAACGTCGTGGGCTGGATTGCAAACCTGGTACGTCTGACTGGGAAACTATTGATCCGTAAAATACTGACATGTTTCCTGGATAGATCTCGCTAGCCTACGTTTCCCTCACGACCGTGCTCTTCCTCTTCCCCCCTGACTACCCTGTTACTGGAAGCAACATGAGTAAGTTCGTCCCGGTATCCACTTTACCAAATTTCTAACGTGTCCGCTCTAGACTACTGTGTAGCCGTGTTTGGCATCGTTATGGTGGTGTCGATCTTCCAATGGTTTGTTGACGGGCGTAAGAACTTCACCGGACCCCGGATGGATGTAGATATCATCAGTGGCCAGGTAGCCCCCGGTGAAGGCACCGATGAAGTCGTGGTGCCTACCAACTTCCATGAGAAATAAGCAGGTCGCAAATTGGCGAAACGGATGAGCATGGGCCCGAGCACAGGTGCTCAGGCATTTTTGGAAACCTTTTTTGTATATAACACACGGCGTCTTGGAGCATAGAGTTTAGCCTGAATAGTCATTCACTCGAACCACTGGTGGCAGCCATCTCCGGTGAATGCAGCATGAATTGCGTCATATCCAGAGGCGGGAGATGGGCCGATCCCAACAACTCCAGATAACCGCTCCTCTTTTTCCCCACATTTCGGCTCACTTGCTCTTTGTTGACCTCGTGCACGCCTCGTGCTTCTCTACACGCGATTATCAGGGTTGATCTGAACTTGATAAGACTGATAAGGCTGCTACTCTGCCGATCTTCACGGTCTGAAGCGTGCATCTACTTGTCGAGTGAGTGATTCTTCGAGTGTCTCTCGGCGCCCTCGAAAACCGCCCGATCTCAACGCCAAGACCAGCCGCTCCAACGGCTCGTCAACAGATCGGGTTTCCCGTGCTAGATAGCGATTAAGCTGTCTTTAGTCTCTGTTCCCTCTCAACTGGAGTAAAAATGTTTTCCTTTCTACCTCAGATCAGCAGAATATTCGGGGATCGCGTGTTATTCGCGCTGCCTCCTGTGAAGACTCAGGAAATTGATACGGCCCATGAGAAGCCCGCGCGCGCCCTGAAACATCTGCTGAAATTGAACCATGCCAACCATGCCATATTGTACAATGATCGAAAGTTTCATAATCATGCTCCGCACGTAAGTAGACTGCTATTTATTGGTTTGGATGCTGCTAACATGCACAGATTCTGAGCTCATCGTTCATGCAAGGTGCTGATGCAGATGATCTGCACCGCGTTTATGAGGCAGAGTCCAAGCACCTAGAACCTTGGACTGATGCTCCTGGGGAAATCAGTGACTTCGATTGGAGAGATTTTCTGGGTTGCAGAGAGTAGGACTCATTCCACAGACCTGACGACCACTCGCTAATCAGTGGAATAGGTATCAACGTGCCTTTGTGGACTTCTTTGAAGATGAACTTGTCCGCCAATCGTACGACTGGAAGCAAGTCGTCAACGAGTACCTTTTCTCCGGAAAAGAGCCCATCTTCAACTCTATCATCGCCGATCGTACGTTGTGCAAGAAAAGCACCTCACTAAAGACACCTCACTAACCATCCAACGCAGTCGGCCACCCCTTAATCCACCTGGCATACGCCTTCGAGTTCGCCAGCCGCGAAGTAGCCATGGAAGCCCTAGCCCTGACATCAACCTGCTACAGCGCGATCCACAAATACCTGGATGATCCATCCTACGCCCAAGCCGAATCATCCTACCAGTCAACCTCTCTCTTCGACATCCTCGACAAAGTCCGTCTCGACAAACAATTCAATGGCCTCTTCGGCACCCCCGGCGGCAACAACATGGACATTGTCTTCCGCGACCGCGAAGCCGCCCTTCTCAACCACTGGAACGCCTGGAAAATCCAAGACCCTATCTCCCAGTTCCGCGAGAGCCAGGAAGTCGCTGTCGGTATCCTGACCGGCACGCACTCAGACCGCACCAGCGAACAATACGACTTCTTCTTCGTCCACATCCTTACTACCAGCCACGCTGTCCGCGTCTTACTCCCCCTCATCCCTCCCCAGTTCCAGCTCTCCCTGGTCAGACAGTGGTGGCTCATGACGCTGTGCGTTTACATTGCTCAGCTGCGTCCGAAGATCGACCTCGACCGCATTCGCAAGTATGACCTTGGTGGTCGTGATTGGAACTGGACTGCTAAGAGGGCTGTCAAGAGTGAGCATTCGACTGATGCGCATTATGTGAAGGCCCTGCGCGCTTATAAGGAGTGTGCGGCTACTTGGGGTGATGCGGATGAGTTTTATCTCAAGGCGGCGGTGAGGTTCGGTGAGGAGTTTAATGGTTGGGGTGGGTTTGTTTGAGTTTGATTGATGGGTGTGGGATACGGCGAGTGGTTTGTTGGTGGTGTACTTGATATCTCTGCTCTTTTTATGTACGCGAAAAGTGATACCTAATAGGTTTGTGCAGAGTAATGGGAATTCTTTTCTCTCTTCCAATGTCGACTAGTTGGATTCGACTAACATAAACTGCCTCTATCAGCTCATTATAAGAATAAAACTGAAGGTTAGACTATTATGTGTTTGTTGATATGAAAAGTGGAAACTGTTCTATTAGGAAGGAACTGCTAAACATACAAAGAGTACCGTCTTAAGCCTACTACGGAGTAAACAGGACTAGCTACACGACCACTATTGAATTAGAAAAGTTTACTTTTCATCCCATCTTCTTCGCACATTTTTGTACTTCTACTCTAGCATCCCAACCCGATGGGCTACAATCACCCTCAGGGTGGCGGTCCCTCCTACAAACAGGTACGGTCAGCAGGATTGCGCAAGTGTATACCATCATTCTGCATCTATGGTAAGTCTCCTATTTTTGCTGTCCTTCATATTCCGGGACGACTTTGTCTGCGGGTGGAAAAGTTTCCAGTGGCCACCCACGGGGGCAGTGAGGCTTGGGAGAAAAAGGTCTAGTTTACTTGAGGAGCTATAGCAATATCTGTGGCGCAAGCGCCGGGCAACGTAAGTCGATGCCATCCCCAGCAAGAGCTCAGCTCCCAGCCTTCTTCCATGCAGTTGGCCGATCCGCAGCCTTGACTGAAGCGCCAATAGAACAGCGTCAGCTGATAGAGCGATATCGATGATCTCCAGCAGAGATTGAACCGAATTCAAGCACAGCTTTACGATCGTTTGATCACCCACCAACAGCGAGAGATCGACTACAAGATAGAACGTCTTATTGAGGAGAATGAGCGCCTGGATGTGAATCGGACCAAGGAGCTGGAAACGCTGAGAAATCAGATCACATCCGCCGTACACGAGATCATCAGTGATGTCCGGCAGGAGGGCCAGAAGATGCGAGCCTGGTCGGCGTTGTACGCTGGCTCACAGAAAGGGAAAGTGTACTCAACTGAGCAGCTCCTGTTGAACAGCCTTGTCTTCCGCTTGATCAACTATCGGTATCAAGCTATCCCGAAAGAACATGCAAAAACATTTGCCTGGGTCTTTGACCAAGACACAGAATTGGACAGAACACTCCCACCCGTGAACTTCGTGGATTGGCTTCGACAGGATAACGGGCTATATTGGATCTCGGGGAAGCCAGGCTCTGGAAAATCAACCCTCATAAAATTCCTAACAGGACATGAACAAACACAACAACACCTGGGGACGTGGTCTGGGGACAACAAACTTGTTCTGGCGAGTTTCTACTTCTGGAGCGCTGCCAAAGACTCCCTGCAACAGTCGCAGACAGGCCTACTCCGGTCCATTCTTTACCAGATTCTACGCCAATGTCCAGAACTAATACGGGTCGCTTTTCCCGACCAGTGGAGCCAGTCAATTTCCAGCGTTACGGGCTTAGCCGAGACACCCTTCAGCAGCCCAGAGCTGCTCGAAGCCTTTGACAAGGTCACTACCGGACTGGCAACTTATAAAATCAGATTCTGCTTCTTCATAGACGGACTGGACGAGTATGAGGGCCGACCGGCAGACATTGTTCGACTAGTCGAATAAGTTTGAAATCCTCACCCAACATCAAAGCTTGTGTTTCCAGTCGTCCATGGAACGAATTTGAACCCGCTCTTGGTAAAGACAACCCGTGGAAACTGTACATTCACGACCTAACGCGGGAGGATATCCGAATATACGTTGAAGAGAGACTTGGGAAACATGAGCGTTTCCGAGAGCTTCAAGTATCTGACGATAAGTGTTTCATTTTTGTGAAATCAATTGTCGACACAGCTCAGGGTGTCTTCCTCTGGGTATCTCTGGTGGTGAACTCGCTTCTGGATGGCCTCACCAACGCTGACACAATCTCCCATCTACAAGAACGACTACTCCAACTTCCCCAGAGTCTGGATGAGTACTTCCAGAAAGCCCTTCTGACCGTCGAGGAACGGTACCGCCCGCAAATGGCTCGAGCCCTTATTGTCACCCTGGAAGCCTACAAAACTCTTCCTCTAATCTGCTACTGGTTTCTAGACCGCGAAGACCCTGACTATGTGCTGGAATTAGAAGACAAAATGCTGGATATGGAGATGATAAGCACACGGATGAAGATAACGCAGACTCGATTGAATGCGTACTGCAAAGGGCTCCTCGAGGTACATTATCCTACTGACAACAAGAGTATCGAATTAGAATCGCCTACGTCATTCTTCGGCTTTCATGTAGATTTCCTACACAGGACCGTGCGAGACTTCCTCTGGACGCCAGAAATGCAAACTTTTCTCCATACATGGCTGTCACGGGATATCAACCTCGACCTCGACATCTGCAAATTCATTTTAGCCATGTTCAAGATCTCAGCGCCCTATTCATTAAAAAAGAGTCACTCATACCATTTTAGGTGGTTCATTGAAAGCTTCTTTCATCACATAGCAAAATTAGACGACGATACAGCCTGCGAGTGCTCCCAATTCGCTCTCCTAGACAAATTGGCAACAATTTTCCAACTCTACATTGAGATCCGAACGAGTCATTACAAATACATGGACGAAGACATCGACGAGGTCGTGGACCGTGACGTTGTTCTTGATGGCATTTTGCACATAATAAGCAGTGGAACGGGGAGTTAGCAATACTCGACCGATCGGTCAAAGCAGGTCTTACTCGCTATACTGAGCATATACTAAGAAAGAACCCAAATATACTGACGGAGAATTCTGAAATACTCCTGCTCGAAGCACTATCTTTCGCAAATATTTATGAGATTGATGGCTTATGTGTTCCAAATTCGGCGATGCTCCAGATACTTCTACGAAGTGGCGCTGACCCTAATGGGCCACCAATCACCGGCCTCTGGGTAACCTATTTGAAATTTTTGAGAAGGTGGAAAGAAGAAAAAGAAAATTCTGGGCAGACTTTCAAAAGCCACTACCCAGCTGTCCGGATGCTTTTAGAATATGGGGCTGATCCCGACGCTCGGTGTTTGAATCAGTGGACGGCGGTCATGTTGCTGTAGGAACTGTTCTCTCCGGCTCAATATGCCTGCCTACAAAGGGTGATTGAGGATAGACAGCTAAATGAGAGAAACGGGAAATTTCATAAAGGGAATCAGAAAGGTAGTAGGAAGCAGCATGCGAAGCCTAAGGAGACGGGGAAACTCCACGTGGTTCGATCATTTCTTCGGGAATTGAGCCCTTTCCGTTCACGACGAAAGTGTTCAGTTGATGGATGACCTCCTGGGCTGAGATATACAGAAAGTGGTTGAGAGCATGAAGAGGGTGTTGGTGTTACAAATATAGTTCTGTTTCTGCCTAAGGCATATATAAAGACAAGCACTCACGTGAGTTCGCGTTCAGTTTGTCTCCTTTGCATCTCCACCTCCGCGGTCCTCTTGATCTTCATGTTTTATTATCTTTCAACCAGACGACAATATCCAACACTGAAAATCCCAATGCTCGCCAGACTAACTAATCGCTAAACACAGTAACAGGAATTCAACCCACAATGGCACAATTATCACAAGATGAACCACAACTCAACCCAGCTACACCTCTCCACCTCCACGCCGAACTCCTCCCCAACATCCGCCAACTAACCCTCTACATCTCAGCTCCCCCAAACACCCCCCGCTCTGACCTCCAAATCACTCTCTCAGACTCGCGCCGCGCAGTCACCGTAACAGTCCCCTCCAACACCAACCAAGATGACCTTTCCTCAACCTCAGAAACAATCAAACTCCCCGCGCGCGTCGGCGAATCCTCCCGACGCATCCTCCAACAACAGCCACCTTCCACACAAGGCGGAAGTGAATACTCCTTCCGCATGCAAGTAGACGATAATGACACGTCCCTGCACAAGGATGAAACAACCCTAAATGACGGGTTCATTCCCTGGACAGCGACGGACATGTCCGCGCATACACGCCTGCGGTGCGTCAAGTGCCATAACCCCATACTTAATGAGGGGAAAGTGTGGAAAGACCTTCCCAGTGGGAATTGGGCTGAGATGATGGATTTCTGGCATTGTCATAAGCCGGACCCGCCGGAGGAGGAGCGGAATAAATATGGAGAAGATCCTAATGCGGTGGTGAAGGGGTATGGAGCTGGTAATCAGCTTGTTGCGGTCGAGGGGACGGTGTTGGTGGATGTTACGAGCTTTTTGGTGAAGGGGGTGGATTGTCTCGGTGTTGAGGAATCAAAGGTAAGGGATTTTATGTTATGTGTTTCTGGGTTCGATTGTTTGGGAGCATGGCTTTGTAAGAAAGGGTGGGATATGGGCAACAAGAAGGAGACCTTTTCAGTCAATGATGAGGCCTTCGATACAATTGCCCTATAACTACAGAGTCTTGGTCGGTCTGTATGGCCCGGCATGAACGAGTGCAGTAGCTGGTGCTGGAGTGCTGTGGGATAGATATCCTCTCTCGCAGATGGATTTCGTCCCGTGGTCGTCTCAGCATGGGTCAGTGTAGCTTGGGTGCTCTGGTGCTGTGATCAGGACTGCGCCTCGCTGTTTCTCCGTTGTCTTGGTCCAGAGTGATGGAGTCGACGCGATTATGCAGAGGTACATCTATCGTCTATACCAGTAAGCGTAGCGTCAAGATAATGCATGTAGATAGAATCAAGCGTGTTATTATACCTATATTGTCAACCTATCTACATCTTCCACAGGCTAATGCCCTCCTCATAGGTCCCATCCAAAGACTCAAAGCCAACCAAGCCAGATACAAACACAGAACCAGAGCCAGAACCAACAATCCTAACCTGCACTACCTGCACCACCCAACTCGGCCTCCCCGACCCCATCGCCAACGGCTACCGACTCTTCAAAACCAGCCTATCGGCCAACCACTCCCCGAACCCTTCATCCTCATCCTCATCCTCATCCCCATCCCCCGAAGAGACAGCTACATGGGAATCCCACCCCCCGGAAACAATCCTCACCGCACAACTCCTCGAACTCATCGAACGCGAAAGCTACCGTCGATTCGTCATCCACTGCGGAGCTAAAGAAGGACTTCTCGTAAGCCTAACCCCATACCCATACCCTCTCCCATCTCCAATCCCACCCACAACATGTCTACAATAGAATACTGATATCAAAGATATAGATATGGCCCTTCAACCCCTCCCTCCGATACTCCACGACCAGCGCATCGCACAGCACAGCGGCACAGCTCGCCATGAAGGTATTCTACCAGCACATTGAGAATGTTGAGGAGGTGTTGCATCCCGAGGCGGGGAAGGGGAGTCAGTCGTTGGCTATTGAAGAGGTGAGACTTCCTGGGGAGGATGCGTATAGGGAGTTGGTGGAAGTGTTGCAGGAGAGGAATGGCATGTTGCCCGCTTCGGCGAGGGTGTTTAGGGAGTGGAGGGTTGGGTTGTTGTGGAGGTTTGAGAGGAGGTAGTAGTAGTAGTAATTCATGGATTTGTTGGTAAATTCTAGATAGGATTGGGTAGGGTGTGGTGTTTGTTCCTTCCTGTTTGGGTTGGGTAGTGAATGGAGGGAGCACTTAGCTACGATTCTACGGGAGTGAGAGTCGAGAGAGATTCTGAACTCACTTCTGAGTGGTGATAGTGTTCTTGCAGGTAAGATACTATGCTACTCTGTTCTATCGAGATTGGTCCTGTTTGGATTGTACGTTATACTGACCGAATACTGAGTTCATAGATACACACTCAACTCAACGCCCTTCAATCCTACCACTATCAACCCACACTCTCACACTCCTACAATTTCCAAGGTCTACACACAGGCATAATACATAATCATAAACAATGCCCCAAATAACACCCCAACTTCAATTTCAACCTCAATCTGAACCTCAATCCCACCCTCGTTCCCCCTCCACCACCTCCGACGAGAACAACACCGTCACTTGGGAACACCTTGAACATGCTCCGCCGTCACTTTCAACTCAATCGATAAATACTACTGCTCACGATAACAATAACCGGTCTACTGCGGAGAACCATTCTGGAGGGGTCATTGGCCATGAAATGCATGCACTGTCTGAGGCGGTGCATGTTGAGGATGTGATGGGTATGGGTGAGGGGACTGGGACAGGGACGGGAATGGGGCCTGGGGCTGGTAGGGCGCCGGCTATTAGGATTCATCCGCCTGGGGATACGGTATCTACGTCTGTGTCTGGTGCTAGTGGTGTCGGGGGTGTCGGGGGTTCTACGAAGTCTGTTTTTTTCTCTGGGAGATGAGGGTTTGGGGAGGTGAATTGGGTGTTTATTCGTGATGAGGTTCTTAATGCTGGGTGGTGTTCCCAAGCGCTGCTATAAATATTACTAGTGGGAATGTCCTAACGGCTGCACACAGTTGATAATCTGCTAATTCATGCTCTGTCCTGTAATTCATATCCAGGCCAGTCCCGCTGCCATCGTGCACTTCATTAGTAGAAACTGTCGAGGCAGTGCGGCTAACCCTCAAACGGCGTCTCATATGGCGCTTCCGCCTGTGGAGTGATTCTCGCATGGTGTCGTCTCTGGCCGTCTTCCCAGTCGAAGAGGGCAGAGTGGGTGACAACGCGGTTCTAAACTCGTTAGTCTTTGTTTTTGTCGGGTACGTGGGAAGGGTAGACTTACGTCCCAAACGACCACAGTTCCAGGACGCCATCTCACCCGGGTCTGGAGATCCTGAGAGAGAGCGATGTGGTCGTAGAGGAATTTGAGGAGGTAGTCAGACTCTTCTTTCTTGTAGCCGACGATGTAGCGGGTGACTGTTCTTGTTAGTATCGTAGAGTACGAGTCGAATGATAATGGTACTTACATTGGGGGTTCACAAAGAGGGCTTTTTCTCCGGTCACCTGGATGATACTATTAGAATAGAGATTTGGGAACAGTTTGGAGGTTGTGCATACCGGGTGAGTTCTGACAATCGGGTGCTCAGAAGTAATCGGATCCCGTCGAGCAATACCACCCTTGTTCAGACTGTTGTTGACCTGCTCAATGCCAGAGTGAACTGCCTTCAGCCCGTGAAGTCTCTTACGGAACTCAGGCGAGAGACGTCTGTATGCCTGTGCCATGTCGGCGAAGAGGGTGTCACCACCGCTTGATGGTCCGTCCAGAATGTACAGGAAGGTCGTGCCCGGAGGCTGCTTCTCGAAGGTCACGTCCGAGTGCCAGGTGATTGTGTTGGTGCGTTGGGACAGAAATTCAGCGCCGCTTCTGTCATCGGCACCTCTGTGCACGAGGTGGATCTCTGGGAAGCCCTTGGGTGCTCCAGAGGTCTGATGGATGTGGTGTCTGCCAAAGTAGCCGCCGAATTCTAGGGCTTTCTCGATGGGCAGGTGCGCGAAGTCTTGGTCGCGGAATGCTAATAGGGTTTGTTAATGGGAAGTCTTCTCGTTCTGGAGAAGGGGATCGTACCAACGACCTTCCGCTGAGCTACGTACAAAGCCAGCTGGTCTTTCCCTTCCTTGGTCAGTTGGCTCAGCTGGACACCGCGAACCTCAGTGCCAATGGTCGGTGTAATGTCGTCGACTTCGGCTTTGTCCTTGGGGAGAAGATCAGGGAAGGTCGGGTCGGCATCCTTTCCGTGGTCGTAGTGCTCGAAGGGCTGAAGGGGAGGGTATCTATGGTTGTCAGTGTGAGATGAATAGATCTATGGATAGTGTTAGCTACCTTTCTGTTTCATTGTCCCAGACAGGAAGATAGTTTGGGAAAGAAGCTGGCGGCTGCTTCTCAGTTCCCTTCAGCTCGTTCTCAAGCTTGTAAGCCTCTCCATAGCCAATCACATTCTCCTTATTAAAACCAGCATCGGTCTTAAGCGTAGTCTTAGGTGCCGCCCGAAGCGACAGAGGAGTTTCTTCAACCAAAGATGGGGCCATATTGGATGTCTGCAGGTGCAACTATGACAGCTGTGCTGTTTTTGTGGTGATATCTAGAACGCATCCTGCACCGAGAACATCATCCATATATATTCTAATTCCCATTCCGAGTATCCGTCTTTTGTCACGCAATTCCTGCGGGGTATGGATTGACGCCATTTCCCGGCTGTCACGTATCACGGAGATACTGCAGTCGGATATGCTGGGAACTCGGACAAGGAGTTACGCGAGCCACGGGAAGGTCGTGTAAGCCAGCATGACTCGCCGATCGGGCATGTCAATGGTGCAATGATAATGCAAGAAAGTTAAGACGTCAGTGCTGTGGTTATCAATCATTGTTTCACTCGAACCGAGCCAGGCTGCAGCCAACCAGATCTATGAATGGCTAGGATGATGCCCTTGACTATTTTTGGATATCCTGCGGACATAATCATTAAATTCCATTCAAGTCCAACATAGGTTCCGGTACTCTTCGCGTCGAGGGCGTGCTGCATTTAATGCAGTCAATGTAGTGCATGGGAGGAAGAGAAGAGGAGGTGGTTGCTGCTAGTAAAGCGGGCCAAGCATGGCGTGATAGTGCTGTTGCTTCGCGCAACTCGCCCTAATTAAGCTCGCCGGCAAGGTGACGTGCAATCCAGACTCATACCCCGCCTGAGACTTTGTCTCCAAGATTTTATTGTACTGTATTTTGGTCTGGGTCAGATTTATCTGGAAAATATTCTTTACTGAGTTGACTGCGCATATTGTGAGGTGTTACTGGTACTGCTGTCTTGTCGCGTTGAATCGCATCAAAGTCCGCATCTACCACGTTTTGAATGCTCACCATGAACCTTTGGAGACCATAGAAAAAACTTGATTAAAACACCATTCGTATCAGAGTCCCCCACCATAAGCGGCTTATCCTTCCCAATCAGCAATAAATACAATGTTGCGATGTCAAGCCCCTAGCATATCATCATAAGCCAATGTGATGGTGACATCGCAGTTCTGGCGAACTTGATACAATCTCTCTGCTATTATTGGATCTTCTGCCATCAGCTGCGGAGATCTGGAGCAGCCGCTAATCTCAGTCCCGGCACTTGTCCGCTTAACCTTACTTGCTCCTCATAACGTCAGTTATGCTCCCCTTGCGTGATTTCATCCCCTGCCGGGACTTTTGCGCAAGATCGGGCAAGTCGCCAGCACTAACAAGCACTTCGGCAAGTAAAGCCATATCAGATTCTGCGGCCCTTGAATCATAGCATATCAGCCTTTAGGTACTTCTCGGCCGTAGTTGACGTTGGCCCCATTCCGCCAACCATTTCATGTCGCACATCGATGCGCTCAACGTTCTAGGTTGCCTGAACCTTACCCACTCATGCGACAATCGGCTACGTATAGCTACCCACAGCTCTCGTGCTGACACTTTAACAAGAAATTGCGTGATGAAGTTCGACGCCTGTCTATCGCTGATGGACACGTCAAAAAGGCCCGATGTCCCCTGAGTTGCTGCTTATTTCTTGAGCTCAACCACCGGAAGCTGGTCCTTCAGTGTTATTCTGCCTCTCGCCACTTTGCTATACAGGCAAGATGACCACAGACGGTGTCAAGGAAGTCCCCGCGGACACGGCCTCCGCAAACGAAGACACCAAGAAGAACCCCGATGTCTCGACATCATCGGCATCGTCATCCTCACTTACGGACTCGGAACACAGAGTCGCAAAGGTGACTGACTGCGCCTTCGATGCGACGGAAGACCCTAGGTTTTACAAGCCGATTCCCGAGTATGAGAGCGCGCATCGCTGGGATCCATACTTCGAATGGACGGAAGAGGAAGAAAAGGCACTAATCAAAAAGGTAACTACCATCGATCCAAGCCTACCTGCCAAAACATAGCTGATCGCAACAGATTGACATCCGAGTTTGTACTTTCGCATGCGTTACGTTTTTCGCACTTCAGCTTGACAGAGGCAACATTGTGCAAGCAAACTCGGACAGCATGCTGGGGGACCTCGGAATGACCACGAACGATTACAACACCGGACAAACAATTTTCTACCTCACTTTCCTCTTTTCCGAGCTTCCTTCGCAGTTGCTGTCTAAGAAGGTCGGTCCGGACCGCTGGATTCCCATTCAAATGGTCGCTTGGAGTTTCGTCGCAGCATTCCAGGCATTTCTCAAGAACAAGGCCGGGTATTTCGCCTGCAGAGCGCTTCTCGGCCTCCTGGAGGGAGGATTGTAAGACTTCCTACACTGTCCTACTTGGGGTATGAGTCCTCTAACAACTTCTAGCATTGCCGACACTATCCTCTTCCTGTCCTTCTTCTACAAGTCCAAAGAGCTGCCGCAACGGTTGAGTTACTTCTGGGTTTCTTACGAAGCCACATCGATCGTCGGCGCTTTTCTGGCGTTCGGCTTCCTCCACATCCACGGCTCCGACGGTTATACTGGAGGATGGCGCTATCTGTTCGCTTTTGAGGGTCTTATTACAGGAATCATCGGAATCATCGCCGCGTTCTGGATGCCTGCATCTCCCACCCAGACTAAAGGCGGTTTCCGCGGTAAAGACGGTTGGTTCAACGAGCGCGAGGAGAAGATCCTTGTCAACCGTGTACTCCGTGACGATCCCAGCAAGGGAAGCATGCACAACCGTCAGGCGGTCACACCGAAGATGCTTTGGCATGCTCTGTGCGACTACGACATGTGGCCCATCTACCTGCTTGGTCTGACGTGGATGATTCCCAACACACCTGCTACCAACTACATTACCCTGGAGTTGAAGTCGCTTGGGTTCGGCACCTTCGAAACGAACCTCCTGACCATCCCCGCATATGTCATCTTCATTATCAACCTACTGTTCTGGACATGGATTTCAGAACGCTTCAACCAGCGTCTACTTCTCGGTGTCGTCTCTGAATTTTGGTGTTTGGTCTTGCTCATCGCGCTTGAAGTCCTGCCAGATGGAGCCAGTGGATGGGTGCGGTGGATCATCAATGCTCTCTTGATTGGAGCCCCTTACGTACACGCAATCATTGTGGCCATGACATCCAGAAACGCGGGCTCGGTCCGTACACGCACTGTTGCGAGCGCGGTATACAACATGATGGTCCAGGCCTCCAGTATCATTGCTAGTCAGGTCAGTGAGATAGTACCCCGCATTGTTGCTCACTACTCACCCCCTTGCAGATCTATCAAGACAAAGACAAGCCTTACTACCGTGTGGGTAATAAGGTTCTGATTGCCATCTCTGTGTTCAGCATGGCAATATTCATTGGGGCCAAGTTTTACTACATCTGGCGCAACAAGTATGGCTCACCAATTCTCCGATAGTAACGACTACAATGCTAACTGTGCTGCTAGGTACAACGCTGCTCGTTGGAATGCCATGTCCAGCGAAGAGAGGGAGGAATATCTGGCAGCTAATAAGGATCTTGGAAACAAGCGGTGAGTCTCCCTTCGGCAAGATTGCCTGATAATCTGTCTGATTGATCGCCTTGCAGACTCGATTTCCGATTTACTCACTAGATGAGCACGATTAATGATTGATTATATTATACAACTAAAACATAGATGACCAACTGCATATATGGAAAACTGGTGGACGCCCTGCGGGATACCCTGAAGTCTATAGATTAGACGATAGAGCAAATTCATAATACAACACTTCGCTCAAGTGATCATAAACCGTAAGAAACAAGCCGTAATTCATGTTCACTCATGCCTATTCCCCAATGACATACTCGCACCCACTATCTCCAATCCACACCTCATGCAACTTGCCCGCCGGAACATCCAGTCGTGCACCAACACCGAACGTCTCCTTTTTTACCTCCCCATTATGCAGCTTAGCATTGTCGTCCGGGTAGGTAATTGTCAAACTCCCTTGGCGTATTAGATGCGTTGTGACACCACCGTGTGAGTGTGGTGGATAATGAGCATTGCTAGGACAGTATTAGCTCCACGAGGACTGAAACTATGATACTATCAATGCAAAATAATGATATAGATGAAGAGACCCTAAAAGGTATATAGTACAACAACCATGGTTTTCATCAACTCACCTTCCGTCCGCCCAAGTAAAGACGTGCTTGAAGCCCCAGTCCTTGACTAGACGTTCGCATTCTTTGCGTGTACCAATGGGGTATGTTTCCGCCATTGTGCTTCTTTAACTAGCACAATCCGGTTATAGGAGGATAATGTTGAGGGAGATAGATATTCTGGGAAGCTGTATAGAAGTGTTTGGTGATGCGGGGGATCAAGCGATGACGTCGTTGGGATTAGTAATTCATGGCAGGTGAGATGCTTGTTGACGGTCACGTGGAGGGAGTATCTTGTTTGAATCTATTTGTCGATGGTGCTTGCTTGGCTGGACATACTACTGAGTAGATTCACAACTGCCACTATGCGTTCTAGAGGCATTGACCAACATAGTCATGGCCAACTGCGCCATTGAAGGTGTCAATGCTAAGGTATTCTCTTTTCTCTAACACCATTAAAGATTTTACTTTTGCTGAAAGAAAAGAAGACCAAATTTCTCTGTTACACTACACGAGAGTCCCTCGTTAATTTATAGTGGCAGGCGTCCGAGAAGCGATTGACAACAAGATACACCGTCAATAAAGCAACGACTGGGCTCCAATAGGTCTTTAAAGCCTTCCAAAGGACAAACCTAACCTCACCGAGACATGGCTTCTTACACAAATGCCTTACTAAGGCTGAAACAGTCAGAGAAAAGTCTATACCCGGACGAAATACTACTGCAAGCGACACGGGATGGTATGGCGCGGTTGTCCCCCGAGGGCGTTAGATTAACGCTAGTCCACTTAGGCCACGCCAACGCCTTAGCTCCAGAACGCCAGGTGGGTCAAGCTTGATAGTGGAACACCCAGGATTTGATGAAGCTCCTCTTATCGCAGCCAACCCAAGGCGCATGAGAGCCGGGTGTATTTGGCTACTGAAGCTTCTCACCCGCATCGATGGCTTCTAGGCCACCCCCACCCCCTGTCGATGACTGAGATGAAGGGCAGAGTTTCCCTTCTGGGAACTCGTCAGGAAATGGTGGGTTGGCTAATCCGGATGCATGATGTAGGGCCTCGAGTGATTAGATTGAGATATAACAACTCGTCCCTCGTCTTGAAATCCGTGCCAATTTTCTGCAAGATCCAAACCTCAGAGGAGAGATAGAGGACACCGAAGAAATGCCGGACAATGTTGAACTCACAACCACCAAGGGTGGAAATAATATTTCCACTGTATTCGCTGATGAAGGGCTTGCCAAAGGCCATGTCGCTCAAAAGTATATCGGCACCATGGCCGACCAAAGGGATATGCAGGCTTTGGGAAAGGAACAAGTTCTCAGGGTTCGCTATCTGTGTACTCAGGGGAAATCATTTTCTAACGGTGTTCTCAGAGAAATTTCCGGTTCATTTCAATCGTTGCCTTTGGATGTACTCTGATTGCTTCATGGGAGGTCATGTTGACGTAAGTCAATTTTTTTCCCGGGGCTTGTACATGATGTTAATACTGGGACAGCATGATGAGCTCGCCTCTGGTTGATGGTGGCACTGCTGGCTTCATCTGGGGATTTGTCGTGGTTTCGGTTGGTGTGTTGCTTCTGTTCGCCAGTTTGGCGGAGATGGCTTCCATGTGAGTGCACGCACTTCATCATGAAATTGTACACCAGCTTATCGTTTCATAGGGCACCCACTGCTGGTGGCCAGTATCACTGGGTATCAGAGTTTGCACCGAGGAAGTATCAGAAGTTCTTGAGTTATATCACTGGTATGTATAGCTACCCGCTGAGGATGGCTGAGCCTAACAAGCCCGGTCGCATCTAGGATGGCTCTGTGCCACGGGCTGGGAATGCGCAATTGTGTCAATTGCTTTCCTAGCAGGTACCATCATCCAAGGACTGGTTATACTTAACTACCCGGATTATGTCTCTGAGCGGTGGCACGGTACCCTCATTACAATCGCCATCACCCTTTTCTCTGTCCTCTTTAACACCTTCCTCGCCAAGAAGCTCCCTCTCGTTGAAGCCTTCATCTTGATCCTCCACGTTGCCGGATTCTTCATTGTGATTATACCCCTCTGGGTTCTGGCACCCATCAAGGACGCAAAGTCTGTTTTCACACAGTTTACAAACGGTGGTGATTGGAATAGCAATGGTACTGCCACGATGGTTGGTCTAATCACTGCTATTACTGCCATGATTGGCTACGACTGTACTGTTCATATGTGTGAGTAAAGGCTCTGGCTCGATCATTCAGACATGCTAATACAGTACACAGCCGAGGAAGTTCGAGACGCTTCCACGACCCTTCCCAAAGCTATCATGGCGGCGTGCTCCTTGAACGGGGTCTTGGCCTTTGTCGTTATGGTCACTTTATGTTTCACCTTGGGTGATGTGAATGAGGTTCTCGACTCCGCTACTGGGTATCCTTTCATTCAGGTCTTTTTCAACGCCACCAAGAGCTACGCAGCTACAAACGCAATGACTGCAATTGTGACCATGTCGCTTATTGCCAGTGTTATTACTGAGGTCGCTACTGCGTCGCGTCAACTTTGGTCATTCGCCCGTGATGGGGGCGTCCCACTGGCTAGCTTTTTCGGTCATGTAAGGGTTCCCACTTCTTGATTAGTTTCAGCTTTAATATTCCAGTACTGATGGGCAACAGGTCAATCCCAATTGGAACATTCCCCTCAACGCTGTTCTGGTGTCCCTCGTGCTTACGATGCTGCTATCACTCATCAACATCGGCTCGACTGTCGCCCTGGATGCCTTGATCACCCTCACTGTCGGAGCATTGTTGAATTCCTACATCGTCACTGTTTCCTGTGTCGCATGGAAAAGAATTCGTGGGGAACCATTACCCCCACATCGGTGGTCACTGGGCCGATGGGGACTTTGGGTAAACCTCGGGGCCCTGGCTTTCCTCATTCCGGAGTTCGTTTTCGTTATGTTCCCCCTTTACTCGACTGTGGATCCCGAGAACATGAACTGGAGCTCACTCATGTATGGTGGCATGATGATTTTTTCCATCATCTACTATGCGTTGTACGGGCGGAAAACTTATGTGCCGCCCGTGGCCCTGGTCAAGCGCGAAATCTGAATTGGCCGTTCGTTGGTTGGAGTCGTTATTGCTGCTGCATGGACACGCCACCTCTTTCCGTTTTGATGATGCTGGCTCAGTAACAGGTCGACGTTGGCGGTCTCCACCACACCGGCCTATCGTCTGCATCAGTGTCGCAAGTGCCTGCGCATTCTCGCCGGCGTAATGGAGTCCGAACTATGTTTATTGGCGATTAGTATGGAGGATGACCAGGATGCTATTCCTTCCTGACTTCTGCCCACAGTGGGGTTGAAATTGAAAAGTTTTCTTTCTACCGTACGGTTTGATTCAACCGCTGGTAATAATACGAAACTCAAATGACAGGTTTTGATTACTTCTGGATCCAAAATTATATTTCATATATCTCGGCGATGGCACGGCCGGATCTTGTTCGCCAGATGATCCCGCCGCGGCCCACCGGAACAACACCGGGAGCTTACCAGCGCTTCTCTCACGAACCCTAACTGATCCGGGTAAGTCCCCCGACGATCAACGGGAACGCCGCTGCGGACACATTCCCCGGAGCGTTCCTTGTGGTTCCGGAAGGATGCCCGCTCCTGTTTGGTATCACGCCAATGAGCACTACGTTTATGAAGCCAGGCAGCAAGCTTGTTAGTGATCTTTGAGCTGTTATATCCGCGAGGCCACCACCTTTCAGTTGCACTGGTTATAATAAAATCATGTTCAGCTTCTTCGAAAGAATACTCGGTATAAACACTAGCACGGATAGTGGCAGTCTAGTCAAGCTAAGGGGTAGCTAGTCTGCCATGGTTCGAGACGGATGCGACATGATTGCGTGTTACAATCATACTAAACTCTAGGGGTACTATGATCCCTGCAAGTGCTTCCTTCTCCGTTATTAACTTTTATTTGTACAGGGTTGGGTTTGGCTACTCGCAACGCTACAGGGGCTTTGGATTCTGAACATCAGCCGTAATGAACAAGCACCGTTCGTTTCTCTCAACTGGCCATTATATGAGGCTGGACCATAAATCCTTCCAGGCGCTCTAGCTGAGCCTTTTGTACTATCACTTTGGCCAATGATAGGTCTCAATTACTCGCACACTGGAGTCAGATCCCTGATAACCTATCTGACCAGGCCACCATAGTCTTGAGCCGGAAGAAATGGCAATATGGCGTTCGTTTCGGAACATACCTAAAGCCTGCATACAGGCCAGTTTATCTACCGGTCTTTATATTTTGGAGGCCCTGCATTAGGAAATCTTAACCTGATCTCTTGATTTCCCAAAAGGCACTGGACGATAAGCGACTCAAGGTCGCTTGCTGAGCCTCTGGGTGGCTCCCGGTCATGACAGCATCTGGGAAGCCCCTTGTGGTCATTGACGAGAGCCACCATGCCGGCATTGTCATTGTTGTTGGGACTTTGGCCCTGATAATGACATTAATCTGCTTGGCTATCCGTGTGTATGTCAGAACAATACTAAGCCCGGGGTTTGGACGAGATGACTATCTATTATTTGTTGCTACAGTAAGTTCCAACGTTGTCTCCTGTGATACCTTTATGAAATTGATACTAACCACTGCGTTATGGATAGGCTTTTGCCATAATTCAGACCTCACTCGTCATGTCAAACTCTGCCAAAGGATTCGGGACATCTATAAGGCTTCTTTCTTCGGATCAGGTGGTGAACGTTCAGCGGGTACGTTGTCAGAATCTAAACAGGGGCACAAATTAATCAGGAATTATGGCCATGCAGACAACAGCTGCTACAGATACTTTGTTCTTGATCACCGTCTTTCTGTCCAAGTGCTGTGTGCTTGGCATGCTCTCGCGGTTGACTCCCCAGCGCATTCACCATTTTATTCTTTCCGCGATACTGGGGTTAAGTATCTGTTGGGTTCTCTCTTCAGTCCTGATCATCCTTGTGAACTGCGAATTGAACAAACCCTGGGCAAGACCCATTGACCACTGCACTGGATTAGTATGAATCCTCTCGCTCCATATCCTTGCAATTACACTAACCACACCTCACCAGTTCCAAAAATGGGAATACATCGGTGCAATGGACAGCATTATTGAACTCATGCTCTTCCTATTCTCCATCCTTCTCGTCAAAAGCCTGCAAATGCCAACATCCCGAAAAATCATCGTCCTCTCTTCTTTCGCCGTTCGTTTACCGTACGCAGTCCCCACTACCCACAAACACTACACGCCTAACCAACTGCCTACACTAGTCTCATTGTATTCACCTCTCTACATCTGTACCATCTAAAAAGCTATGCCTACTCCATGAACCCAACCCTAGACATCATCGACAGCTACGTCTGGACCCAAATGGGCATGAACTACGCCCTCATCGTATGCACCTCCTTCTGTCTCGCCCCCTTCATACGCGCCATCAGCGTCACCTACGGCAACGCAGGCGAAGTCAGCCTCGGCACCAGCAGCGCTAGATCCAAGTCAGGCAAATACGCCCGGGATGTATCGAAACAATCACATAGCTATGTTCTGCAGTCGATGGATAACCAGGAGGAGGCCGGTCGCGCCATGAACAACCCACGACACTCGCAGCCGACGTTTGTGCCGGAGCAATCCGCCGGCAGTTTCAACGCTACTGCGTACGATGGTAGTAGTCGAACGGATGGGGATAGCGTGGCTAGTTCGGACAGTACGAGGATGATTATTAAGAAAGATGTCGAGGTTACTGTTACTCGTGAGCCGAGGTAGTTAATAAAAGTTCTTTTCTTTTGTTGGGGTGGTGGTCTAAGTCGTAGACGTACATTCTAATTCTGGTCTGCTTCTACTAGGTCTTGCCTTCTACCAAGGAAAGACGTAGTGATAAGTAGTAGTGAGTATTTATCGAACACGATTGCTGTGATGTTGAAGTTCTGTTCGTCTGGTGTTATGTCTTATATGTTCTTGTTAGAGGATGCATCTGTATCTGTTGAATTTCCAATGTAGGTGTAGCCTGGAGGATGAGAGCCTGAGGCATATAGCTAATGATAATGATGCCTGAGGCAATAAATAGGCGGCCTGAGGCGCAGGTCTGGGCCTAGGCCTATCCGAAGTAGGTAGAGTGCATAGCTACGTGTTCCTTTTTGAGATAGTAAGGTAAGATGAAATCCGAGATCTGAGAGATGGAGTGGTATATTTGGCAGGTAGTTATTACTTCACATGAGAAGGGAAATCGTGTTGTTTATAATACATCGGTAGTTTTTTCAGTGACAGCGTTCGCTCATCAAAGATGTCAATACATAGTAGGTTAGTTATATGCCATATGCCTGTTTTAGGTGTGCCAAACTGTGTCTGGCAGCGGTGGAGTTGAGATCTGGTTCCACTGGGAGAGAGAGATACGCGACGCTGATGCTCCACCTGTTTTGCCAGATGTGCTGCCGCTCTGATCCTATTACAGCATTCATCATGCTTGTAGTGAGTCCCGGTTTTGACCTCAGTGAGCAGTGTTTACCCCTAGTCGCAACATCTTATACTTGAACATCTCATCTGACTTGTGAGACTACAGGTATAGATCAAGCCTCCGGGAGTCCCTTGCTAGGGTCCTGCTTCTGACCCTTCCAGCCGATATACGGCCATCCCTTGGGAAGAGAAGAGTATGGCGGGAGAACATAGCGGCCAGCGCAATCTCCCTCCGTCGGACAATCCAAATTGCATAGTCCGAATACCTTGCAGTAGCATTCTTCTGCCGTGGGACAGTAGACGGGGCCCTTGCCGAAGATCACTGTACAAGTTGGTCAGTTTTGCTTAGCGCTATAATAAGAATTGGAACATACTGTGCCATGAGTATTCCATGATTCGTCCACTAAGATCATCGGGTAACGTCGTCTCAGCCAACCATTTGCGGTACCGCACATAGTCACTCTTCGGCCGCTCGCGGATCTTCCAGCGTGTGACGGCGAATTGCGCGCAGCATGAAACCCCCACTTCTTCAGGGACCTCCGCCCCGGGAAACAGTTCCATGAATCCTGTCTTGAAATATTCTCCTGCGTGGACGTCGTTGCGATGCGTATCACTGAGGGGATGAATCTCCGCCGGACAACCCAGGACCCAGGCGCAGCGCAGATTCACGTAGCCTTGTTTTTGGAGATATGGGACCTGGAAGTTGCGAAGAACGGGCACACCATCGTAGTAAGGGTCGTCATTGTGCCATTGGTATCGTTGGGAATGGATGAATAGGATCGAGTCGGGAAGATTGTCGTAATTATCAATTATGTATCTGCAGCAGTGAGTTGGTGCGCCCAGAACCGGCCAAGACACGGAGACTCACGTCAGATACACCATCGATTCCCTCCCCTTATTCAAAGCCACCGTCAACGGCGCTTTCTTGTCGTCCGCCACGTAGATACTTTTATGCCACTCAGGAAAGTATGTGTACAGCCATGAGACATCGTCTCCCTTCATACTAGCCACCACCATGTCCTTGTCCAAGGCCTGAGGCTGTCGCGAAGCCGAGGCGGACGGGGAAGCCTTCCCCGACCGCGAGTCCCGATGCGGACCTCCCTTCACCGCATCCTCAGCAGATGTCTCTGACCGTTTGGGATCGGAGCTCCCAGCGAAGAAGAGGAAGTATAGAGCGTAGATGATGAGAATGGTGCAGAAGATTGCTTTTTCTTGGTTGCGCCGGCGCGGACTGTTAACTCCGCCGCGGAAGAACAGCATGGCTGGCAATGGCGGCGGCGGGACTGGCACGAGGCGGGGGGGACTATAATCATATGCTGCTGGATGTATGTATATCACGGAAGTCAATTGAGCGTCAAATCAGCGTGACGGGGCAGGGAACATGGCTGCACGGATGGGCGATCGCAGACGGTCGGGGGTCGGTGAGGTCGATGCGGGCGGCGGTTCGAATGAGTTGACCGAACTCGGGGAGATTTTGCGGCGGCGCAGGATGAGGGTGAAACGTCGGCCGTCGGATGGAATAATATAGGAGAACCACGGAGGCCCCGAAGGCGATCGTTGTTGAAACCCGGGGATGCAACAGCTGGCAGGATGGGAGTTGTGGTGGACGAAAGTAAGGAGAGGAAAGATGATTGATGGCCGCAACTGCAAGCGGAGGAACAGCGCCTCCACACGTGCTTTATCTGCTACGTAATGGGATCTCAGTCTGTTTCTCTTTCACCACACCACCACTTGCTTGCTCTGATTATATACTAATTACTATGTACACTTCTCCTGTCCACTAATCTGACAGTCGGTCTAGCTATAGCAAGCACTCTGAAATCGCGAAAAAGTACCACAAGTGAGCCAACACGCTCACCGTTGCTTCACCTGCATTTCCCGCCGTCGAATTGATTCCCTCGATGACTTCAATATCTGACGCCGTGACACTGGCTCCAGTGCCACTGGTGATCCAGTATTCCGGACTTGGCTGACTGAACCCAAAGTCCATGGGTGGCACTCGGGGGACGATGTCGTTCAAGTGTGTAACACGGAAGTTCGCTCCAGATCCTTGACTGGTGATGTGCTCGGCCAGCGCATAGTTTCCGATTCGAGGACATCCATAGGTGTACTGTTGACTGTCAGAGCCTATTGTCGCTCCATCACCTTTGTGAAGCACTCACCAGCTCAACGCTATACCCGTCATTTCGCAAAACCGTCGCTCCCAGCGTAGCCAATGCGCCGCCCAAACTGTGCCCGGTGAAGTATAGGGTATAGCCCGAATACGTGCTCATCGCGGACTTGATCTTGCTCGTCAGATCGTCGGCAGCGGATTCCCACGCCTTCCAGAAACCAGTATGGACCTTGCAGCCGGTGCAGAGGTCGTCGTTGTCTTCCAAGATGAAGTCAAGATTAGCGACCCAGTTCTCAATCGTGCTGCTTCCCCGGAAGGCGACCACGAGCCGCTTGTTGGTGTTGTCCGCGGCTAGGAAACCGGCTGTGCCTCCAAAGTCGTTCGTTCTATTCAATTAGCTGTGCTCTATGTCTGCGGTCTGAGTGACATACAGGTCGAACTCCAGGAGCATCGTGGTACTGGCCTCCTCGACTGATGGACAGGCGTTGGCCGTGCATGTCAAGTTGGAGTCATCCGAGTCGATATTATTCGAGCAATAAGCTGCGGCAGACCATTGCGCGAACAATTGCAACTCATCCAACGTGGAAGTCGAGACACCTATTCACCCTTCATCAGTGCTATCCAACCACTTCAACTAGGGCACACCTACTCCGCACATCAAGCGGTGCCGGCGCGGCAGCACCCAGCGCAGCGAGCGCCGTCAGAAGCACTCCAAACCGTCCAGAGAACATCTTGCAGTATATAAACAATCGAGGCGACCAAAACCTTGCGACCAACGAGCTGCTACAATGCACACACACTGCCTCTATCCAACTGCACCTCCGATCCCCCTTTTATACCCATATCATATTACCCACCGCGATTCCCCATCAGGGGCCTCAGGGGGGAAAAAAGCAAGAAGCGGGGTAAAGTCAGACAACAATATTCACCCCAACAGCACTGTCACGATAGCAGATGAAGCCAGCCCATGCAATCAGGCACCGTGTCTCCTCATCCGCATCCTTTGTTCCGGGTCGGCGGTTGTCCGTTGCGCAACTGGAGTTGCCAGTTTGGCCCCATCTCCATCCGGAGCGGAAGCCCGGTGGGGATTAATGGGCTGCTATAGCAGCCCGTAGACAAGCATAGTCTGCTCCGAAAAGTTAAATAAAGTAGATGTTGTCTGAGGATGGGCGGTGTCGAAGGGATCTACTGGCGGAGAAACGTGGAGGGCGTGGTACTGCACATGAGCAGTAGATTGAGCATTGGGATTGGGATTGGGGATAGGGCCATGACATGTGCACAGGCCGAGGTAAGTAGGCTCCCCAAGTAGAAGAGCAAGCAAGCAAATAGACGGGAAATAGTGTTACGAAATCTGAGTCTTCTTCACATGCTGTTGCTGTTGCTGTTGCTGTTGCTGTTGCTGTCAAGTGTTGTGGTTCGTGACATGCAAGTAACTAGTGGAGTTAGTGACTTCTTGTCACTTTGCCGATCACTTTGCAGCGCTTATACTCATTCAGACTACGATACATACATACTATAGATGGGGAAGAAGCACACAAACAATCTACGTAGTATGTACAGAAACTAAACATGTCCACGTGCCCATAATCAATACCATGCATACTATCGAAGAAGTAAGTAACCCTAACAAAAAGAAAGAAAAAAAAATACCTCAACTCACTATTGAAACAATACTCTCATCCCTAATTCCCGCCCCCGATACTACCTTACCTTCCCCAAGAACTCTCACAGTTTTAGGATAGTAATACAAACAATAACCTAGTTATAGTAAACACATCTCCTATTACCTAACCAAGTCTACCCATGTAGTACCTAAATACTAAAGTCAATCCATTACCTACCTGAAAGTACTACTCACTTAAAACTAATCTCCTCACTTCATCCGGCACTTACACCACCCACACAGCACTAGGTACTTACTTTGGCAGCCTAAATCACGAACTAAGTTAATTAGTCCCGCTGCTTTACGAGTCCCCTAGTCCACAACCACCATCACCACCACCACCAACAAACGTCCGGGCTTCCCGGGCTGCGGGGTGCATGCCTTAGTATCCCGTACTATAACCCCGGGGTAGTTGGTTAGTTAGTTAGTTAGGGGACGGGAGGACGATGACTCCTTCACTCCCCCTTCTTCTTTTTATTGACCAACCTATTATTACTTAACAAGAGTTAGGGATTGTAGTTGGCTGCTACCTACCTTGCAGAGTTTGTTAGTTTGGCTTGGGTAACCCCACTTCCTCCCTTCCTCCCTCCCTTCCTTCCAATCCATACCGTGTGCGTGCGTGTTGGTTGGAACTGAAGGATTCTTCAGACTTTTTTGGTGGTTCAATTAATCAATCAGGCCAATGTCAGTCCGGCTTGTGATCTGCGGTTTGTTAGTGTCGGGGTGGTGTGGCAGGTGACTGACTACCTTGCTATCTTACTATTACTAGTAGCTTTGGTAATTGGGTCTTGGTGGAGGTGAAGGTGTGGGATGGATGTATAGGTACCTGTGGAGTACTTGGCCTAACCTACTGGGGGCTATTAGGTAGTTAGGAGGAGCTGTGGGTGTGTGCGTATGTGGGCAGGTGCCGTTATGTGCCTGTGCTCCCTATGTCTCCGTATCTATCTGTGGTTCTGTGATTTTGTGGTTCTGTGGTCTCGGGGATTAATGTACCAGTGATATAGTATTAGTAGCAGTATGTACTGCCAGTATCGGGAATGTACCTTCTACCAGCACATGGCAACACTGGTATCTGCTCAAAGGATATATTGACCGCTACCTGCATAGCTAATTCAAGAACAACAAGTGAAATGATAATGTGACAGAAAGAAACAATCAATCTTCGCTCCTGGAACGCCAACCAGACTCACATCACGTCTTTTGCATAGCATAGAAGAGAAAAACAAAAACAAAAAAAAAAAAAAAAAAGAAAAGAAAAAGGAAATCCCATCATCAT